GCCCCGACATGCATCCACAGCCCCAGATTTGGGCAATAGCTTGTGGCTTCACTGGGCTTGTAGCAGCTCATACTTGTACAAATAAGAGTGAATTGCAGACACAAACATCAACAGACAATGATTCACATGAGCGAGTAGCCAAATATAATCTTGGGTGGTGACAAAGTATGAACCAGACTCCTCTGATGTCTGATATCATGCTGGTGTGATCAGATTAGGCCACGGGCAGGCTGACTAAGTGGACCTCTGCTCTGCTGGATCCCCCCACCTCTCCTGCACGCTCTTGTCTGTCTGAGCCGGACTGTTCGGGGTCGCGTGGGGGTTGTGTAAATATTCACTCGCTACGGGTGGGAAGAAAGCTCCGAGGGATTTTCCATGACTTACTCTGGTGACTGAAGCATTCCTTGCCAAACAAACGCAGCATCCTCCTCTGCGCGCAGACGGGGGATCGCTGAGGTAGCATCACCGGGGACACCAAGCTTCCATTCATCTTTGTTGTTGCTTCCACTGCGGGTTTCTGTCACAACACCCACAGCAGCGATTTTCCATATGATGTTTGTTTGGATGGCAGTTGTTTCCTACTGATGTCATCTGGAGCTGGACCACGGGGAGCAATTATCTGCCTGTTTTTGGAACAAAACTTGCGCCGGATTAAAGCATCAAACTCACCAGATGCGATTCCCAAAGTGAATAACTGCGGTCACAAAAGCAGCGGTTATCGTGTAGTTTATCATTATAATATTACAGTATATCATATAACAACCGCTGCTGAGTATACAAAGCAACATGGTTACTGCACTTATGTGCATCCCTGTCATCTAACTTTTCCACTTTGATGGGAGAGTTTGATCAATTTCATCAAGCGGCAGAAAAAACTCTGTCGCTGATCGGAGCTACACTCAGCTTCTGTCCAGCAGCAGCATTAGCTCCCATCAGGAGATGGAGCTCATAAATAACCATCTCCTTCACTGAGTTTAACCCATCTGCATCTCCGAGGCGCGCAGCCAGCGTTATACCTCTGTACAGCCACACTGAGGAGAAGGAATCAACACGAATGCCATCATCTGATTTATGAGTCTGGGGCTCGATGTTGACCTGGGTATGAAAAGACCAAAATATGGATTCCAGAAACTTCTGCAAAAGCAGACAGGAGGGATTTCAGAGGGAAAGGTGCGCTTTTTAATCTGCTTCTGCTCACAACCAGGTGTGGGGAAATTCTCCTAAAGCTATAAATCCTCTTAGCTCTCATACCAAGTGCTTCTTTCCTCGCAGCTAATGTAAAACCGAATGCTTTGCTGATCCTAAGCTGTCTGTCAGTTAAGGACGTTAGTCACTCGTCAGGCCTGACGCATAGTAAGTGCATGACATCATGGGCACCGCATGCGCATCTGTTTTCATAGCGTGACCCACGACACAGCAGGGTCAGCGAGGGTCATTCACTACGACCTTTATGTGTGTGGAGTTTTCCCAGGCAGTAAAAAATGTATTATGTATTTTGATGCATCAACATTTCATCCTGTAACTTTGTTAAAATGCTCAAGGGTGCATTTATTCTGAGCAGAGGAGTTTTATTTCTAATATCAGCTCTCGGTATCATGAGAACTGC